ATCATCATCATCATCATCATCATCATCATCATCATCATCATCATCATCATCATCATCATCATCATCATCATCATCATCATCATCATCATCATCATCATCATCATCATCATCATCATCATCATCATCAAACTATCATCATTATAATCAACACATCATCGCTGTCATTATCATAATCAGCATTACCATTATCATCACCCTCATCATCATTATCACCAAACATCGTCATTATCAATCATCATAATCATTGTCATCATCATCAATTATCTTTAATGTATTATATAAATTTTGATGTTTTCCTCCTAATCTCGTATTTCATACGTGAAATGCTGCTATATGAAGTTTTACTCATTAATTTCCTTTCTTTTTAAAGAATAATTTATTAGCGATGATAAATCAGTAATTTGTAAATAGGTATTAACAAGACTACATACAGCATTGTATGCACCTATTATTTATTATTATTAATAAATATTATTATCATTATCATTATCATTCTTATCGTTATTATTATCATTATTATTATTGTCGTTATTATTATCATTATTATTATCGTTATTATTATTATTATTATTATTATTATTATTATTATTATTTATTATTATTATCACTATCACTATTAATAATTTCATTATTATTAATTATTACATAAACTATTAAAAATTGACAAGGAATATTTAATCTCAAAGATGATTACAATTTGTTTTGTATGTATAAGTTTGCATTAATAAAATTGTTTGCTTATAAAGAAGATTATAGGATTTGTTTAAAATTTCTGATAAAATTTGCATTAAAATCAAATTTCAATCAAAATGTTTTTGTATTTTATCCATTCTTTTTGAAGTTTACATTTCCTTTAATCTAATCAATTCTTATACTTACTATTATATACTATTATTACTTAATATTATTTACTGTTATTACTTATTATTATTTACTATTATTATTTACTACTATTTACTATTATTACTTACCATTATTTACTATTATCACTTACTAATATTTACTTATTTACTTATTATTTACTATTATTTACTATTATTACTTACTATTATTTACTATTATTATCATGATAATTTAATTAAAATAAAAATAACTCTTATTTGATAATAAAAACAATTTATTCTTATTTAACTTTTTATCATCTTTCTTTCTTTTTTTGCAAAGAAGAAGAAAAGACAAATAATTAATTAGTAGAAATTAATAAATTCTTCACACTTCAACTTTTTGTCAAATAAAAACAAAACATGAAGAAAATTTCCAACAATTTCACAAAAATTTCCTCCACCTTACTAAAAGAAAAGAATATTTCCTAAAATTTTACCTTTTCCTACATTTTTACCTTTTGTTTCATTCACTTTTTCCATTGCAAGAAATTCATTTATGAACGACAATGTCGGAAATCACTTATTTGATGGTGGTACCAGTCACATAAGTTTGATTAAATTGTTAAATGGAATGGATGTTACAATGAGGTTAAGGTCATCATCGCTTATTACTATAATTATTTCGAAATTTAATTTATAAAATATTACTATTTTTACTTATACTATTATTTTCATATGAATTACTTAACTGGAAAACTTTTTCATTTCTTTTATTTATTTATTTATTTTTTTCAACGACTGCTTTTGTTTTCTTGTTTGTTTATTCATTACATACAAATAAGTAAGTTACTATTCTTACTTATTTGTATGTAATGAATAAACAAACAAGGAAAAAAATTAGTTGTTAGTAAGTTATTAAGTTATTTATTATAATTAAGTTATTAAGTTAATATTCAAATAACTTTATTCAATAATTGTAAACTTTCTTTAATTTCATTTGTTTGTTTTTTTTTTTTAATCCGAATGAATCATTGTATTGTTTGAAATGAATCAACAAAAATAATTTAACATTTATCAACTTTCAAAGGTTGTAATAATTAGAATTAAGATGTCGTAGTGTTGAAAGAGTAGCAAATATTGTGTTACTTTTATTGATTGCAAATATATTTTTTCCCTTTTAAATAAACTTATAATTCATTAATTGTAATTGTATGATTTTCAATTCATTTATTTAATTCTATTCCTTCATTTCCAATTTGATTTTTTTGATACAAATTATTTCATTGCTATTATATACGTATGTCATAAAATAACAAAATTACTTTTATTGTTTGATATAAAATCAAATTTTTTAATTATATAGTTAATGAATGACATAATTAATGATTAGATATTAAATGGATATAAAATTAATGGATGAAAAAATTTTTAAATGAATATGTTAAAATTTCAAGTTTAAATAAAATAGAAATCATTAAAAGTGATAGTTGAAAGATTTCAAATAATGAAATGAATTAATTGCCAGCCATTTTAATTCTTCTCTATAAAAGGAGATTTTAAATGGGATAAAAGTTTACCAACTAATTTCAGATCATTTTTGTAATTAATTAATTTAATTTTTAGTGGTTATTAATCGATTTAAAATTATCTCGTGCTGATTAATTTAAATTTAACTGGTTATTTGGTTGATTTAATTTTTACTCTTGATTAATTAATTTCATTAATTAATTTACATCTTTTCTCTTACTCATACATTAATTTAAATTAAAAATTTACATAAAATTATTCAAAATTTAATAACTAATCTTCGCCTAGTTAATATACTAACATATTTTATAAACACAGATTCAAAAAAAATTAACAAATTGAAAGTTGAAAATTGAAAAATTAACCTAAAATGAAAATAAATGAAAGGAAAATTTTTTGCATGCAAATAAATAATTGCAAATAATTATGAAAATAATTAATTATTCAAAACTATTTCATATAATTAATTTATTTACAAAGAGAATTAAAAAACCCCCCTCTATTGCTTTCTTTCTCTCTCTCTCTCTCTCTCTCTCCCTATCTCTTTTAACTTTTTCTTTTTACAACTTCAATTTTTTTTTCAATCTCTTCTCTTTATCTTTTCGTACTTCAGCTGCTATTTGAAAAATGAATTTTTCAATATTTCACATTGGTTGTCACATACATTTTCAATTGTAATAGGAATAGAAAAAAAGAAATAAATAAATAACAACTAGTAAAAAAGGATAGAAAGAGAGAGAGAGAGAGAGAGAGAGAGAGAAAGAAAGAAAGAGAAGGGAAAAAATTTTTCTTAAAAATTATGTAATAAAGTCAGAAAGAAGTTGTCTCAATTTCAATTCCCATTTCAATAGTTTTATTTCAAACATTCTTTTTTCCTATTATTCTTTTCTTTCAAATATTGTCGTAATTTTCTTCTTTCTATCTTCAAAACTTTTCCTCCCTCTCTCTCTCTCTCTCTCTCTCTCTCTCTACTCTTCCTCTTCTTGAACTTCGAAAATCCCATTTTACATTTTTATTCATACTTTAAAAACAAAATAAAAACCCATTTCTCTTCTTCTTTCTCTTTTCTCATATATTATCATTTTATTGCCTTTTTTTAGGGATGTAATGTTAAAAGATGGCATTATTGATTATTTTATATATAATATAAAATAATCAATAATGTCATTTTTTATAATTTGGAAATATAATATTAAAGAATACTAAATATTGATTGAATTATATGCTTGGAAAAATTTGAAAAAAAATAAAAAAAATTATTTTCATTCGTTTTTTTTTCGGATCAAATTTCTTTGCAATTAACCTGTAATTATTTAATTTATAATTATTTTTCTTTTTTATTTTTCATTTAATATTAATTAGTTTTAAATTTAACCTTTTACAATACAATCTTTGATGTTTAAAGCATTCAGTCAATTGTGTTAAAACATTTTGCTATTATCACTTCAATCATCATTCTAATTTATCATCCTTTTCATTATCATTTCATACTTTCCTCTTAAACCATTTTAAAGTAAGCAGTAATTAATTAAAATTACGTGCAATTTTTTCTATTTTTATTACTGTCAATAGCATTTCTAATTTTTTTTTTAATTTGCAATATTCGATATTTTCTAATTAATAATATTCGATAATTGGAATAGAATAGATAATTATTTCTTTCATTTCTCTTTTTCTCTTTTTAATTCTTAATTCTTTTTGAATTTGAATAGCATTCGATAATTGGAATAGAATAGATAATTATTTCTTTCATTTCTCTTTTTCTCTTTTTAATTCTTAATTAAATAAATTATTTAAAATTTTTATTCTTTCAAAAGAATAAATTTCGGTACATTTTGCTATCAACGCTTTAATCTTATCAGTCTTATCATGCATTTTACTATCAGTGGTTTAATTTGGGAAAGAAAATTACAAAATGAAACAAAAGAAATTATTTCATTCAAAAAATTAGAAAATCGGAACCTTTTCATATTTCCTTCATTTTTTCCACTTTTTTTTAAAAGAAAACAATTTTCATTGCGAAATATCTTTTAATGAAGAAAATGCAATAATAAAGGAAATTAAATGAAATTATTTAACTCTTCAAAATTTTTCTTATTGTTTTTTCTTCCTAATTTCTCATTGAATATTTATTAGATGCAATTAATTACGAAATTGCTATATATCAATTCCGTGTTCATTCAGGTAAAACTTTAGCAAACTGCAAGAAATTCCATTTCAAAGCGAATTTTCTTTGTTTTAATTTCATACAATTTATTCGATCAATTAAAAATAGGTTATTTCTTCTCGAAGATTGGTTGGTAACAGTTTTATTTTAAAATAACGTAAAATTTTCGGAAATGGCGTATACTTTTTTCCGTTAAATATTATTGCTACTATTTTACGGGGAATTTCTCATCCTGAAAAATTGATATTATCAGTGTATTTTTCTTTTCAATAGTAATCAATGTANTTAAAATAACGTAAAATTTTCGGAAATGGCGTATACTTTTTTCCGTTAAATATTATTGCTACTATTTTACGGGGAATTTCTCATCCTGAAAAATTGATATTATCAGTGTATTTTTCTTTTCAATAGTTATCAATGTATTATCAGTGTATTTTTCATTTCCAATAATTATCAGTGTATTTTTGTTTTCAATAGTTATCAATGTATTATCAGTGTATTTTTCATTTTCAATAATTATCAGTGTATTTTTCTTTTCAATAGTTATCAATGTATTATCAGTGTATTTTTCATTTCCAATAATTATCAGTGTATTTTTGTTTTCAATAGTTATCAATGTATTATCAGTGTATTTTTCATTTCCAATAATTATCAGTGTATTTTTGTTTTCAATAGTTATCAATGTATTATCAGTGTATTTTTCATTTCCAATAATTATCAGTG